ACCAAAAAGCAGCTGAAAAATATGTGCAGGAATTCAAGGAGTACATAGACAGTGAAGGACTGAAACCTGAACAAGTGTTTAATGGTCACACTGACAATGTTGTGAAACACTTCAGGAATGTCATAAAGGAACGGGAGGTACAGGCCTCTATGGGCAGATATGTTGTGCGACAGAGGTCCAGTGACTCTCAAGCTGGTCCTAGTGGCATTAAAAGAAGAAGGGAAGTAACCCCGAAAAAGGACTTGCCACCTCAAGTCCTAATGGAAGGGGATTCCCCTTGTAAACACTAAGACCATCAACACACTCCCCTCTTCCCATCCCATCAATCATCACCAGATCTTCAATAAAGGTAAGTGTCATGTAACTGTGCATGTCTTCTTCAGTTTGTGTGTATTAAAATTAATATTTCTTGTGTTAAAAATTTTTTTTTCAATACTTTTGGGTGTCTTGCACGGATAAATTTGATTTCCATTATTTCTTATGGGGAAAATTAACTTGACTAACGATTATTCTGACTAATGATGAGCTCTCAGGAACGGATTAATAGCGTTAGTCGAGGGTCCACTGTATATATGTATATATATAATATATATATATATATATATATATATATATATATATATATATATATATATATATATATATATATATATATATATATATATATATATTTCTTTCTTTCAACACACCGGCCATATCCCACCGAGGCGGGGTGGCCCAAAAGGAAAAACGAAAGTTTCTCCTTTTACACTTAGTAATATATACAGGAGAAGGGGTTACTAGCCAATTGCTCCCGGCATTTTAGTCGCCTCTTACAACACGCATGGCTTACAGAGGAAGAATTCTGTTTCACTTCCCCATGGAGGTAAGAGGAAATAAACAAGAACAAGAACTAGTAAGAAAAATGGAAGAAAACCCAGAGGGGTGTGTATATACATATATGCTTGTACATATATGTGTAGTGTGACCTAAGTGTAAGTAGAAGTAGCAAGACATACCTGAAACCTTGCAAGAAGTAGCAAGACATACCTGAAACCTGTCTCATAAACCTTGTTTATGAGACAGAAAAATGGACACCAGCAATCCTACCATCATATAAAACAATTACAGGTTTCCGTTTTACACTCACTTGGCAGGACGGTAGTACCTCCCTGGGCAGTTGCTGTCTACCAACCTACTACCTTGGATATATATATATATATATATATATATATATATATATATATATATATATAATATATATATATATATATATATATATATATATATATGTATATATATATAATATATATATATATATATACATACATATATATATATATATATATATATATATATATATATATATATATATATATATATATATATATATATATACGTATATATATATATGTATATATATTTTTTTCAACAAGTCGGCCGTCTCCCACCGAGGCAGGGTGACCCAAAAAGAAAGAAAATCCCCAAAAAGAAAATACTTTCATCATCATTCAACACTTTCACCTCACTCACACATAATCAATGTTTTTGCAGAGGTGCTCAGAACACAACAGTTTAGAAGCATATACGTATAAAGATACACAACATATCCCTCCAAACTGCTAATATCCCGAAACCCCTCCTTTAGAGTGCAGGCATTGTACTTCCCATTTCCAGGACTCAAGTCCGACTATATGAAAATAACCGGTTTCCCTGAATCCCATCACTAAATGTTACCCTGCTCACACTCCAGTAGATCGTCAGGTCCCAAATACCACTCGTCTCCATTCACTCCTATCGAACATACTCATTCACGCCTGCTGGAAGTCCAAGCCCCTCGCCCACAAAACCTCCCTTACCCCTTCCTTCCAACCTTTTCGAGGATGACCCCTACCCCACCTTCCTTTTCCTACAGATTTAAATGCTCTCCATGTCATTCTACTTTGATCCATTCTCTCTAGATGACCAAACCACCTCAACAACCCCTCTTCAGCCCTCTGACTAATACTTTTATTAACTCCACACCTTTTCCTAATTTCCACACTCCTAATTTTCTGCATAATATTTACGCCACACATTGCCCTTAGACAGGACATCTCCACTGCCTCCAACCGTCTCCTCGCTGCAGCATTTACAACCCAAACTTCACACCCATATAAGAGTGTTGGTACTACTATACTTTCATACATTCCCTTCTTTGCCTCCATATATAATGTTTTTTGACTCCACATACACCTCAACGCACCACTCACCTTTTTTCCCTCATAAATTCTATGATTAACCTCATCCTTCATAAATCCATCCGCCGACACGTCAACTCCCAAGTATCTGAAAACATTCACTTCTTCCATACTCCTCCCCAATTTGATATCCAATTTTTCTTTATCTAAATCATTTGATACAATGGATCAGAAGAATTGCGATTGCTGTTACAATCACAGCAAAACCATCCATTCTCTGTCCACCACAATTGGCATTACTGGCCACCTGTTCTCCCCATTTAGTTTGTTAAATAGATGGTTTACTGTTGTCAAATCATTAGCCATCCTCATTTAAGATAAATGTGATTTTTATAGACTTTAATGTATTGTGTGAGTGTGTTAGATCAAAGTGAGTGGAGACTAAGTGGTTTTATGGCTTGATGTCCTGGTGAATGTAAGCAAGGTAATAATTTTGAAGAAATTCAGAGAAATTGGTTAACTGGACTCGAGTCCTGGAGGTGGAAATTACAGTGCCTGCACTCTGGAGAGGGAGGATGTTACAGTTTGAAGTTTAATTTGAAATGTGAAGTCTTCACATTTCTGGCAAGGCAGCTATTAAATGAATGATGGTGAGTGCATTTCCTTTTTCTGGGTCACATAACATTGGTGGGAGATGACTGGTGTGGTAAAAAAAAGATACAGTGGTACCTCGAGTTTCGAAGAGCTCCCAACTCGAACAATTATGTAAGTATTTTTGTAAGTGCTTTTGTAAGTGTATTTTTGGGGGGCTGAAACGGACTAATCTAATTTACATTTTGCATTATTCCTTCGGTATTGGCACTCAAACAACCTTCAGGAATGAATTAAGTTCATAACTCGAGGTACCACCGTATATTGAAATGTTTAATCGTCTAAATGAATTTGACATTGTTAACAGCTTAGCGTAAGGAGAGAAGAGTATTTCAGACCTCGACCTGCTGTCTCCATGAGTGTGAAGTGAGTGTTATCACTGTTTCATCAACAAAAAACAAATTCTGACTAGAACTCTTATTGCATCCTGGGATTGTGATAAGTCTCACTGTTGCCCCCAAATTACTTTTTTTTCAAGATAACTAATGCCAGCTTGGTTACAAGGTAACACTTGTTTATACAGCCCTGCATTCCTACCAATTAAAACTGAAATTCATCCCTTTGATATATGTAAATATAAAGGAAGAAATGTAAGGGCTTTGATATTCTGATCCCTTGTGTGAGGCAGACACATCACTAGTGGACATGGGATTATTATTATTATGTGCATATTCATAAATAAAAAAGTGCTAAACCCAGAGAAGCCTTACAATGCCATGGAAATGGGAGGTAATCAGGTTTGACCCAAGGAAGGGTTTCTCCAATTCCTTGGATGAAGAACTCTTCAAATTAGTAGGTCTATAAGAAGTTTTATGATTTTCAACAATGTTGTAGTAACTTGCTTGCCTCACCCCTGTGCTTGGCAGATAAAGGCCCATACAATTCCTCCCTCTTAGTGTTCCATTCAGGATGTAAGTGAAATTTCTTTTGTTAAAAGGATAATACTCTAGAATCTCTGTGAAGTGTTCACTTGTTGCTAACATTCTTTTATTTACCCTTTAGAAAAGTTTAAGGAAAATCAATTGTTAATAAAATCAAAATATTTATTTTGACATATTGGTTACATTTTTTATACAGTATATCTATAAATCTATTGGTGCTAAGCTGCCACAAAAAGTTTATCACAGATATATGAAAAAAAAAAAAATATATATATATACATAGTATGTAAAGAAATATGTTGATTGAATTAATAAATATGTATGATATTTGATTAGCCCTATCATTCTTCAGTCTACCCTACATGTAAATTCAGACACAGCCATTGTGGAATACAGTGGACCCCTGGTTAACGATATTTTTTCTCTCCAGAAGTATGTTCAGGTGCCAGTACTGACCGAATTTGTTCCCATAAGAAATATTGTGAAGTAGATTAGTCCATTTCAGACCCCCAAACATACATGTACAAACGCACTTACATAAATACACTTACATAATTGGTCACATTCGGAGGTGATCGTTATGCGGGGGTCCACTGTATATCACTGATAAATAATAGTCTTAGTTTACAGGTATGCCATAAATATCGTATAATTATTTAGTCAAGGTCTTGTTGGATGGGGATTTGCAGTTCAGACAGTCATTTGATTTGCTATGATCAAAATAAAACACAATGACCGTCTTTCACTCAACAGCTGTCCACACTTTTCTAGCAAGACAGCTGTTGAGTGAAAGATGGTCATTGTGTTTTATTTTGATCATACTACCTTGATGGGATATGGCCATTGCACAATACAGTGGACCCCCGCTTAACGATCACCTCCCAATGCAACCAATTATGTAAGTGTATTTATGTAAGTGTGTTTGTACGTGTATGTTTGGGGGTCTGAAATGGACTAATCTACTTCACAATATTCCTTATGGGAACAAATCCGGTTAGTACTGGCACCTGAACATACTTCTGGAATGAAAAAAATATCGTTAACTGGGGGTCCACTGTATTTTTTACTGTAATATAGGCACAAGAGTGAATTGAGAAACATAAGAGGTTCCTATAAAAGGAGGGATATACTGTAATTGTTCAGTGTTCTAGCTTCCTGTTGCTACATCTATATATTTTAAATGCTTTTGATTTCTATGGGGCTTTTCATTCTATTTTTATTAAACAAAATTGACTATATCAGAAGTATGCTGCTATCCTACTCTTTTTATAATGGTTACGTAGAGGGAAAGAAAGCTAGATATGTTTTCCTAAAGGATTCCATCACATAGGCTGAGTTTTGTACATGAGGTAATGGGAAATGGGTAACTTCGGTAAGGCAATGAGGATATCATCAAGCATTTTACTCTGGGTTAAGTAGCTATGGAAACTTCAAAGGTTTTCTTTCAGTGTAAGTTTTGAGTTACTATCATTTCATGGAATGGGGGAATGGCTTTCTTTCAAATTTTTTCACAGAAAAATTAAATATCTTGAACTACATTAGAAATATTTAAAGTAGAACTTTTAAACATCTATAAAAATATCTGGTTTGGAAATCACAAAACTGAAGTAGTCTCTATTGGAATAAACACAAAAATATATGGGAGTACAATACATGTAGACTAAAAATACAAGATTGTCAGGACCTGAAATTTAAGTGTTTTAGAAAAATGGCATTCGAGATAAAAAAAAACGAAAGTGTAATATATACAAGCCATTTTGCTTAAGCTTGGAAAGGTTAGCACTGCAACCTTCTCTGGTACTATCTGAATACAACTTCAATTTTTTTATTTCTGGATCATTGCATCATGTGCAGTTGATATACAATATTCTGTATAGTATTGCTGTATGTTTTTCATAATACTGTTACAACTTTCTCCATCAGGTACAGTAAAAACAATACATTTCATTCACATTATTTTCACAAAGCTTAATTTTTTTTATTTTTATTTAAAACTAATTTGCTTTATAATTTTTTCATTCACATTATTTCCACTAAGTTTAATTGTTCTTTCATTTTTTATTAAAAACTATTTGCTTTATAATTTTAACAGATTAGACTTTCTTCATTGTGTCTCAATATGCTTATAATGATATGCCATGTGCTAAGAGCAGTTTTCCTCTTATACTTACAGTACATTACCTACTTTATTTATCATCAGTGCTTCATTACTCACTTTAGTGAAGGTAAGAGGCAATTCCATAGATAATATCCAGTATAATATTAAAACATAGAAATTATTAATATTTAAGATAATGTATTCAAACTGACATTTGTCATATCACTTTTCACCACTAATGTGTAGTTACTGTAGTACACATGGAAGCATCAATAACTGGTGCTACGTCACACATGTACAGCATCTATACTCAATCTCGGCCACTTCATATATTAACCCGTAAACGGTCCAAACGTATATATACGTTTTTTCAACATTTGAAAGTATGGCGAATGTAGATCTGCTTGGACCGTTTACGGGTTAATGGTAGAGTGTTGGACTGTTAGTTTATGGACCTTGGTTTGCACCCCCTGTCCATCCATCTGTTTATTCATTGATAGTTGTTTATTACAACTTAATCTGAATTCATAGTACTGTAAGTTTAAAGTTTCTTTTGATCAATATTTCCTCTTCAGTACGATATTTCAACTCAGCATTATTATTGCTGTGCAATAATTATGAGGAAGCACAGTAATCGTTCGGAAGGGCTAAACCTGTAAGGATCATAAAGCACTTTGAAACTGGAAGGTAATCAGTTTTGATCCAAGGAAGGGAAGGGGTAGCTCCAATTCCTTGGACTTGACTTCATTGCCTTTTCTTGTTCAGTGTAAAAGTCATAGTACAGTAATCTGTTTTTTTTTTTTTTTTTTTTTTTTTTCTTTTTTTTTTTTTTCCACACCCTAACGGTCTATCATCTTTGCTTTCTATCCTTTTTCTTAACCCTAAAATTTAATCAGATATTGAAGAGCGAGAAACTTGTGCAACTTATGTTGCATAAGTGTCTCATTCTTCAACTTGTCAGTTTTCAAAACCATTTATCACACACTACTATCATTTTCCATTCATTAAGGTGAACCTACCATCTTAGTGTGTTCTCTTACTCTAACAAGTCACTCATTACCACACTTTGCATTTTATCTTATTCTATCAATCCTAACATTTGATCTGCTACTCAGTGTTCATTTCTTTAACTGTTATTACTCATAACTTTTGAATTTTTACATTCACTGTAAGCTAGCATTTTACACTCATACTTCTATGATGGAATAATAACTTGCATGCAGCCATATAGCTGAAGTTATTTTTCAATCTGTATTTTTCAATCTGTATTGTTCTTGTATTTGTCTATCATTCCTTCAACTAATGTACCTAGCTTCATCCATAATATAGTATCACTAATTATGATTTTTTAGTGAATTACTATTTTTTTCAACAAACCAGCCATATCCCACTTGTGATCATAATTCAGCTTTAAGGCTGAACGAAATGCTTTGCATAATAAAGGACTTTCTATAAAATTATTATTATTACAATCAATTATTATTATTACAATTATTATTATAATAAAAAAGAAGCACTAAACCACAAGGGTTTTAAAATAGTTATATACTATGTCCGTCACCTTAACTGTATAATAAACTGTACTCCACTTTATAGAAATAAGGTCTGTTTTGTTTGTGTAGCCGGATTTTAATTGCACTATTAGGCTTCCTTTCCAGACTGACTCTACTGTCAAACTGGCTCTACAAATTCCTCATCCTAATTTTTACACACCCTAGGTACGTATTTAAATTCATCACCAAATTCCAGCATTTCCTGGTTCACCCAGACTATACTATTTCCTTCTCTCTCAACTATCATTAATTTACTTATAGCTACAGCACATTTATTTTCAGTCATTTTCTCTCACATAAATAAATTTAACTAAACTATGTATAGTACTCTATACCATAAGTATACTATTGTCTGCCAGATTAACTATGCTAAATTTGCATGTCAAGTTTTATGTACCATACCAGTACCCTATTCCTATTGTTTACATTCTAATACCTTTGTTTACATTCTAATACCCTTGTTTACATTCTAATACCCCTGCTTACATTCTAATACCCTTGTTTACATTCTAATACCCTTGCTTACATTCTAATAACCTTTATGTCAACTTTTCTCATGGGGTGTGTATTAAAACTATAAAGCTCTCTAACTCATAACCCATCAATATACAGCATTGTAATAAACATACACATTGAACAACCATAGAACATTACACAACCTTAATGCATTATACATACAGTATATAGTAATAACTTAAAAGCAAATTTTTTTCTGCATAAGGGCAGTGTATGTCATAAAATACTGTTTAGCAGTTACCCAGGACCTTAGGTGCCTCTGATAAGCTTATGTTTCATATTTGTATAAGATCTATCTAAAATTCTTTATCTCCTTTTTTCTGTTTTAAGATTTCAATACAGTCCTCATCTCTTCCTCTTCACCTTTGGTTTCAGTGTCTCTAGACTCTTTAGAGACACAACAGAATGTTAAGATCATCATTACTAGCCCAAAGCAGAATGAACCATAATGGATAAATAGGAGATATTCTCGATGAGTGGTGAAGATCTCTTTATCAGCTTGAGTGAAGTGTGATGTGGCATTCTGCTGTGTGAGAAACCACACCACTAACATAATAGAGTTTTCAACAAACACTAAGGTAGAGTAGATAGTGTAGGGAAACCACGGCGCCACCTGTGAAATTACAGAGTTTGTATTAGAAAGTGTTGCTAATATACCATATAGAGATTTTAAATACAGGGATAAGTAATTCTTATACTTTTACACTATTGGGCAGCAAAGCCAAGTTATTTCTTGTACTAGAATATAATGATTATGTTTTCCTACCTTAATTCTGGTTTTCATATTGAATTCTATGTAGGCAAAGATGAAGACAAAAGCACTGAAGAGATAGATAAATATCCTTTTCAATCTGTTCTTGCCAGCAGCAACTGTTTGGAAGAGGAACACCAGCACAACATGGATGCCAATAACAACAAATATCCACCACTTGAGAGCACCACTAAAGAGTGCCATTACTTCAAACCTTGCCACTAGGAATGATGCCCACCATAAAGTTGCCACTATCTGTAACACATCCAGAAAATAATATAATTAATAGTCTGGTAATCAAGTTGTAATATTACAAACACATAACTGGATAAATAATGATATTTGTATAAGCACAATTATAATTTACCCATTTACTACAACATTAGGTTCCTGCAGTAGTAAGTTTGTAAGGTGTTTTGGACCTGAATACAGCAGGGCAGTTTGAAGCGCTGGTTATCCTCTAAGTCACCATTGATGATCTGATTGGTAGTGACATTCTTTTGGTAAGTTGAGATGACTGTTGTGGCTAGTGAGAATAGTGAGAAGGACAGCTGAAGCACCTCTATTGTTTCTGTGGGAGCAGAAGTGAGTCAGTGGTGAGATGGCTTATAAGTACATTACTCTGTTTTTAGAGTTATGAAAGCTATACAAAGTATTGAATAAATAAATAGCACATGAACATACAGGACTACTGTACCGTATGTTCATGTACCATTCAATATTTCCCCCTTTAAATTTTCTAACTGGTGCCCGAAATGCTCTTCATAACCAGTGGCTTTCTGCATAGTATGTCACTGATGTTAGCTAGGTCTGTATAAGGTGTATCATGTACCTGTAGAAGATTATTATTATTAATTACATTAATAAACACCCATTATATTGCTTTCTGTCAACAATTCTTCCCCTCTTCTCTCTCTCTCTCTCTCTCTCTCTCTCTCTCTCTCTCCCTCCCCCCTCCCTCCTTTCTCCATCTCCCTCTCCTTCCCTCAAGAGAGGTTCCTTGATGCCAATGAAGAGCTCTTGATCCAAGTAACTGAACCTACCTCCCTCCCTTGGATGAAGCCTGAATGCCTCCCATACTTCAGGAACTGTATAACCTTATGGGTTTAGCACTTTAAATATGAATGTACAGGCAGGCCCTGCTTTCCATCACTTCGCTTTAGTGTTTTACTGATACAATGGTTTTCAATTATACTCATTCTTGATTTATTCGGACTTCTTACAATAAATATATTCATCACTGGAGATATATCTGGAGTATATATACTAAGGATGAAAATATTTTAAGGCAAGTAATGTGTATTGTATTTGCATTTTTTAGGCCTAGCTATATTGCTCACTTAATATATGAAAGTGTTAATATGTTATCAGGTTTTTATATGCATTTGAAAGTGGAAAAAGGCTATGATTCACTTCACAGCAATACCCCTGAACCTAACCTGCTTTATAAGTGGGGCCCTCCTGTAAATACTAATCTTTTCCCTCCCTCTCTAGTCCCTCCAGCTACCTTCCATTCCCCAGGCTTTGCATGATTCCCTACTAATTTACTGCTTTCTATGACTATAATAATAATAATAATAATAATAATAATAATATTGATATATTTACCAAGTAAAATTTTCCTTTGAAGAACACTACTTACCTAAGTGTGAAAAGGGCATCTCTTGTCGCCTGAGAGTAATCTTATAGAGGCGGAGGAGGAACTGTGGAGCAGCCTCAGTGAAGGCCTCTAGGAACTTGACGAAGTAGGCACGGCTGGGGCGGTTGAGACACTCGAGGTGGTGGGTGCGGGAGCTTGGGAACAGTGCCATAACACCATGGTATATCTGGTGCAAATCCCTGGGAAATGAAAATAGTAGTAATTTCTACTGTAACTTACTGCTAGGCTTTATATAATAAGCTTTTGCAAGGCTCCCAATGGAAATAAGTCACTTTGTCTGACATTTTAGGGTTATCCTAGGTAATTTACACATATTACTATGCATGATAATTGTAATTAGGTGGCCCGGTGGTCTGGTGGCTAAAGCTCCCGCTTCACACACGGAGGGCCCGGGTTCGATTCCCGGCGGGTGGAAACATTTGACACGTTTCCTTACACCTGTTGTCCTGTTCACCTAGCAGCAAATAGGTACCTGGGTGTTAGGCGACTGGTGTGGGTCGCATCCTGGGGGACAAGATTAAGGACCCCAATGGAAATAAGTTAGATAGTCCTCGATGACGCACTGACTTTCTTGGGTTATCCTGGGTGGCTAACCCTCCGGGGTTAAAAAATCCGAACGAAATCTTATCTTATCTTATCTGTACGTCAATAAGCTTATTTACTAAGCTACAAATTAGTAATGTAACTAGACTTTAAGTATAAGTGGCTTTGGCATGCTGCTCTTATCTGTATTTTTTTTTTGTACCTCTGTATGTGTGCTCAAATTGTAATAAATAAATAAATAAATAAATAAATAAGGCCCTTAAGCTCCCTAAGGAAGATTCCATAACACTCGTGAGGGGCTCTTGATCTACGAAATTGAACCTGCCGTGGATCAAATCTGATTACTTTCTATTTCTCAGACACTGAGCGACCCACTATGAGTTCTGCACTCTCCTATGATTATAATAGCTGTATAGCCCTTGTGGCTTAGCGCTTCTTTTTGATTATAATAATAATATGATTATAATAATCATATCTGATTACCTCCCATTTCACACACACTGAGGGTTTAGCGCTTTCCCATAAATGTACACAACCCGCACATGGAAAAAAGCTCATGGTCCAAGTTGGGCCGAAACAACATCATAAAGTTAGTCACATGTGCTGGTTGTGTGTGTATTGTTCCAGTCACGGTATTGTGCCTTTTTGTTCTTCATAAATGCTCTGTATAGTCCTTGTGGCTTAGCGCTTCTTTTTTTTGATTATAATCTTCATAAATGCAATAATAATAATACCTGAGGATGGGCCAGAGAGGCAGGAGAGGGAAGCTGAGGAGCCAGAGTGGAGCCTTGAGGCACACCAGGAGACCTGTGTGACTGCTGAACACCTCAGTGATGGCATACAGGGAGAAGAGCAGACCTGGCAAGAACACCAGACCCAGGGTGATGTAGGCGAAGATGGTGTCACCTGAAGCAACGAATCAATGGAAATAAGTCACGACTCACGAAATCTGAATAACACGATTGGAAACAAACCATACCATAGGTAGTTTACCTGGAGAGAGTTTCGGGGGTCAACGCCCCCGCGGCCCGGTCTGTGACCAGGCCTCCTGGTGGATCAGCGCCTGATCAACCAGGCTGTTGCTGCTGGCTGCACGCAAACCAACGTACGAGCCACAGCCCGGCTGATCAGGAACTGACTTTAGGTGCTTGTCCAGTGCCAGCTTGAAGACTGCCAGGGGTCTGTTGGTAATCCCCCTTATGTGTGCTGGGAGGCAGTTGAACAGTCTCGGTCCCCTGACACTTATTGTATGGTCTCTTAACGTGCTAGTGACACCCCTGCTTTTCATTGGGGGGATGGTGCATCGTCTGCCAAGTCTTTTGCTTTCGTAGTGAGTGATTTTCGTGTGCAAGTTCGGTACTAGTCCCTCTAGGATTTTCCAGGTGTATATAATCATGTATCTCTCCCTCCTGCGTTCCAGGGAATACAGGTTTAGAAACCTCAAGCGCTCCCAGTAATTGAGGTGTTTTATCTCCGTTATGCGCGCCGTGAAAGTTCTCTGTACATTTTCTAGGTCGGCAATTTCACCTGCCTTGAAAGGTGCTGTTAGAGTGCAGCAATATTCCAGCCTAGATAGAACAAGTGACCTGAAGAGTGTCATCATGGGCTTGGCCTCCCTAGTTTTGAAGGTTCTCATTATCCATCCTGTCATTTTTCTAGCAGATGCGATTGATACAATGTTATGGTCCTTGAAGGTGAGATCCTCCGACATAATCACTCCCAGGTCTTTGACGTTGGTGTTTCGCTCTATTTTGTGGCCAGAATTTGTTTTGTACTCTGATGAAGATTTAATTTCCTCATGTTTACCATATCTGAGTAATTGAAATTTCTCATCGTTGAACTTCATATTGTTTTCTGCAGCCCACTGAAAGATTTGGTTGATGTCCGCCTGGAGCCTTGCAGTGTCTGCAATGGAAGACACTGTCATGCAGATTCGGGTGTCATCTGCAAAGGAAGACACGGTGCTGTGGCTGACATCCTTGTCTATGTCGGATATGAGGATGAGGAACAAGATGGGAGCTAGTACTGTGCCTTGTGGAACAGAGCTTTTCACCGTAGCTGCCTCGGACTTTACTCTGTTGACGACTACTCTCTGTGTTCTGTTAGTGAGGAAATTATAGATCCATCGACCAACTTTTCCTGTTATTCCTTTAGCGCGCATTTTGTGCGCTATTACGCCATGGTCACACTTGTCGAAGGCTTTTGCAAAGTCTGTATATATTACATCTGCATTCTTTTTGTCTTCTAGTGCATTTAGGACCTTGTCGTAGTGATCCAGTAGTTGAGACAGACAGGAGCGACCTGTTCTAAACCCATGTTGCCCTGGGTTGTGTAACTGATGGGTTTCTAGATGGGTGGTGATCTTGCTTCTTAGGACCCTTTCAAAGATTTTTATGATATGGGATGTTAGTGCTATTGGTCTGTAGTTCTTTGCTGTTGCTTTACTGCCCCCTTTGTGGAGTGGGGCTATGTCTGTTGTTTTTAGTAACTGAGGGACGACCCCCGTGTCCATGCTCCCTCTCCATAGGATGGAAAAGGCTCGTGATAGGGGCTTCTTGCAGTTCTTGATGAACACAGAGTTCCATGAGTCTGGCCCTGGGGCAGAGTGCATGGGCATGTCATTTATCGCCTGTTCGAAGTCATTTGGCGTCAGGATAACATCGGATAGGCTTGTGTTAATCAAATTTTGTGGCTCTCTCATAAAAAATTCATTTTGATCTTCGACTCTCAGTCTGGTTAGCGGCTTGCTAAAAACTGAGTCATATTGGGACTTGAGTAGCTCACTCATTTCCTTGCTGTCATCTGTGTAGGACCCATCTTGTTTAAGTAGGGGCCCAATACTGGACGTTGTTCTCGATTTTGATTTGGCATAGGAGAGAAAATACTTTGGGTTTCTTTCGATTTCATTTATGGCTTTTAGTTCTTCCCGCGATTCCTGACTCCTAAAGGATTCTTTTAGCTTAAGTTCGATGCTTGCTATTTCTCTGACCAGTGTCTCCCTGCGCATTTCTGATATATTGACCTCTTTTAGCCGCTCTGTTATTCTTTTCCGTCGCCTGTAAAGGGAGCGCCTGTCTCTTTCTATTTTACATCTACTCCTCCTTTTTCTTAGAGGAATAAGCCTTGTGCATACATCGAGTGCCACCGAGTTAATCTGTTCTAGGCATAAGTTTGGGTCTGTGTTGCTTAGTATATCTTCCCAGCTTATATCGGTTAGGACTTGGTTTACTTGGTCCCACTTTATGTTTTTGTTATTGAAGTTGAATTTGGTGAATGCTCCCTCGTGACTAGTCTCATTTTGTCGGTCTGGGGCTCCACGCATACATGTCTGAACCTCAATTATGTTGTGATCTGAGTATATTGTTTTTGATATGGTGACATTTCTTATCAGATCATCATTGTTAGTGAAGATGAGGTCTAGTGTATTCTCCAGTCTAGTAGGCTCTATTATTTGCTGGTTTAAATTGAATTTTGTGCAGAGATTTAAAAGCTCGTGTGAGTGTGAGTTTTCATCAGAGCTGCCTCCTGGTGTTATTACTGCAACAATATTATTTGCTATATTCCTCCATTTTAGGTGCCTTAAGTTGAAATCCCCCAGGAGCAAGATGTTGGGTGCAGGAGCTGGAAGATTTTCCAGACAGTGGTCAATTTTTAACAGCTGTTCCTGGAATTGCTGGGATGTTGCATCCGGAGGCTTGTAGACTACCACAATGACTAGGTTTTGGTTCTCGACCTTTACTGCTAAAACTTCCACTACGTCATTTGAGGCATTAAGCAGTTCTGTGCAAACAAGTGACTCTGCAATGTACAGGCCAACCCCCCCTTTTGCCTGTTCACTCTGTCACATCTGTATAGGTTGTAACCTGGGATCCATATTTCGTTGTCCAAGTGATCCTTTATGTGGGTCTCAGTGAAAGCCGCGAACATTGCCTTTGCCTCTGCAAGCAGTCCACGGATGAAAGGTATTTTGTTGTTTATTGCTGGCTTTAGACCCTGTATATTTGCAAAGAAGAATGTTATCGGACTGGTGGTATTGTTGGTACTGGGGGGGGATTTTTTTTCCGGCATTAGTATCTGTATCTGTTGGTTTGGAGTGGAGGCCATCGACTGTGGTTCCACTCCAGGAATGACTGGATTTGGTGTACGATTTCTGCCATTTCCTGCCAGTTTTTTTTCCTTCCTGGCACTAAAAAACCTCTCCCTCTTGAGTGGCTGTGGCTACCCAGGTTTTCCCATGGCCTGGATGTTTTGTATCTTTTTGTCCCCTTTAGATGGTATGCCTGGCAATTTAAGTTAGGGGTAGGGATAGAACCCGCGGTCAGACTGACGTGCTAGCCACTGGGCCAGCTGGCCCAGTGGTCTGGAGTTGTATGACTCTCTGATCACAAGTTCTATCCCTGCCCATGGTATGGTTTGAAATAAGTCACTTTGACTTTTTTGGGTTATCCTAGGTAATTGCTTCTCGGCTCATTGAGCTAAGATCAAAGTATCCTAGGTAATCTACACATATGCTTTAGCGCTTCCCCCTTGATTATAATAATAATAATACACATATGCTATTATGTATGACAATTTATGCAATTGTATTTGTGTATCCATACGTAAATCAACTTAGCCATTCATGCTAGTGGCTTTCTTTGTGCTTAGCAATACTTATTACATGTAAACTACAATTTGTTTACACTACACAAATAAATAAAAAATATTTTTATTTTTTATTTACTTACTAACTCCCTGGCAAATGGCTCCTGATCAAACGAATTGAAGCTACCCAAGGTACTTTTAATTAAAACATCAATTTTACAGGCTAAGAGCATGACCTCTAATAGATTTAGATTATTATTATTATTATAATCAAGGGGGAAGCGCTAAACCCGGAGGATTATACAGCTAATAGATTTAGAGCTTTCCATGAATATAGTAATTAGTTATCAATAAGCTATATACGTACATGAGAGAAAGAGAAAAAGAGAAAGAAAAAAGAGAAAAAGAAAGAGAAAAAGAGAAAGAGAAAAACAGAAAAAGAAAAAGAGAAAAACAAAAAGAGAAAGAAAATGAGAGGAGGGGGGGGGAGGGTAGTTTAATAACGTAGCTGGTGACTTACCGTTATGGTAGTCAGTGAGAGCCACGCCTACATCTGTAGCAATGTCCAACATGTAGAACAACAGCTGCAGTGAACGACCCACAGTGTACCTATAGTAGTACAGTGTAGCTGTAGCGGTACGGTACACCTGTAGTGACATCATCTATCACACCGTGTCTTCATTTATGTCAAAATATCTTCATCCAAGTAACTGGAGCTATCCTCCATTGAACTACACTGGATTATCTCCTATTCCCAGCTGCTCTGTAGTTTTATTAAAGTCATGACTACAGTCAAAAAGGCCGACATGCTGACGGTCAAACACGCTGTTATATTCAATGGCCGTAAAGTGACCGCCCATAATATGAAGAGATTAGCGCACTCGGCTTACATACTTAGACTTACGTACCTGAGTGGGCCATATCGTGGAGGACAAGACTGAAATAAAGGACCCCAATGGAAATAGGGCCCTTTTTTATTATAATATTAGAAATGGGACAGCAGTCCCCATTGCGCGCTGACTTCACTGGGTTATCCTGAGTGGTTAACCCTTCGGGTTAAAAATCCCCACAAAATCTTATCTTAACCAGATAAGTATCAAGGCCAGCGACCCACTTCAAACATGTAGACAACTGTTGTTCATGAAAAATTAAGTGAAAAACCTAAGCCCTTAGTGTATATTTCGGCCTCCATCAAGAGACCTTCAGCTGACCAGGAGGGTCTCATGGAAACCAAAATACAGGTTAGGTTAGGTAAGGTTTGTCAAGAAACTGGACAAGCTTTTCCTGATGCGGGTTTTAGTCATATGACCCGCCACCGGAGCTTTTGGTCATCTGACCGAGGCCTTCCGCTGGCTTACCGGTCCACCCCTTCAAAAATTAAGGTTATAATTACTGGAAAAATTATACACAGATACTTTCTTTGGTTATTCTGGCTTATTAACCCTCCGAGGTTACTAATCCAAGGTCTACTTTCAAAGACTTACTTCATAAATATTGAGAAGCAGGTCGAGCAACGCTGACCACAGCAGCAGGAAGCTGGTTGGTCATCTGTGGTGGTTTGGGTGTCATGTTTTTTCTGTGTTCCACCATTGAGTTGCCTCGTCACCTCCCATGCCTCAGTCATGGCTCCACCCTCCATGCCTCACCTACGGGAGTAAACGTTCTAAGTTTATTTAGGAACAATTACACAATCTTTATTACGATTGTCTTACATAATATATGTGCAAAGTTACCTAAAATAACCCTCCAAAAAGTGAGTGATTTATTTCCATTGAGGCCCTTGTAATACCTTATTATTATTATTATTATTATTATTATTATTATTATTTGTGGGAAGCGCTAAACCTGCAGGGTAATATTATACAGCGCCTGGGGGTGGGGTGGAAGGTATTCATGCTCAATTCATGGAACTGGAGCACAGACCCAATTCCCTAGATCAAGAGCTCCTCACCAGCATCAAAGAACCTCCCTTGAAGGGACCTTATAATAAGGAACTTACTAAAGAATATTATTACTATTACTACTACTACTATTTCTTCGCTAACTCTCCACTCTGCCCTTTTTTTACTACCACTACTAACTTCTTATTGTCACCTCTACCACTGTTGCACAACTTCTACTACTACTAATTAATACCACCACTACTACTACTACTACTACCACCACTACCGTTTCAATACTACTATTCCCTCCTTTCATTCTACCACTCCCGTCCCAGACTCTCATATATTCTGACTCCCCCTTCGTGTTGCTCTGTATAACTAGTTAATGTTCCGAGTCGGACCATCATCATAAATTTCAATCTCCTATGTGCGGGTTATCTGTGTAAAGCAGCCTATTACTAGTATTAAGTTTTATCCTATAGGACAGTGTAACAAAGCCACATGGAGCGATCAAGGCTCCTCTCCTTGAGGGAGTTTTTAACAATATATATACATGTATTTCCATATTTTCCTATTTCTTACAGCGTTTCCGTGAATTTGAGATGAACTAAGCTCTTCAAATTATAAGCGAAAACAGAAAATTTACATATTCTTGAAAGACTGATTGATAACATTTAGGAAAATGATTACTATTATTGTTGTAGTAGTAGTCCCCTCAAGGAAGGTTCCTTGATGTTGGTGAGGGGCTCTTGATTTAGGGAATTGGATCTGTGCTCCAGTTCCCCGAATTAAGCCTGAATGCCTTCCACATTCCCCCCCCCCCGGCGCTGTATAATCCTCCGGGTTTAGCGCTTCCCCTTGATTATAATGTAGTAGTAGTGTAGTAGTAGTAGGTAGTAGTTTGTGTAGTAGTAGTAGTAGTAGTAGTAGTAGTAGTAGTAGTAGTGGTGGTGGTGGTGGTGGTGGTGGTGGTGGTGGTTGAAATAGTGGTTGTGCTGGTGTTACATTAAATAAATATATTTAACGGGTCATACAGCAGTAAGTTAGGTCAAGTTTCAACAGGGAATATCGACCAGAATATTTAAGTCATAAGTCAGTGTCTAGCCTTGAAATTTAGCCCAGCACGAAGGATATCCCGCACTTCCTGACCCACCGATATCCTATAGATTATCCTATTTATGGGGAAAGCGCTAAACTCGTATCAGTCACAACAGCGTTTGGCAAATGGAAGGCAATCAGGTTTGTTCTGGAGAAGGGGAGAGTGGCTCCATTTCCTTAGATTAAGAGCCCTTCACCAACATGAAGGCACCCTTCCCCTGCAAGGTATGGATTTTATTGAAAAAACGCGGTTGCCAAGGCCAGGTGGTAGGCTATGTTGCGAAATACACACGCAAACATGTTAATTATGTTCCTTGTAAGTGCATCTCACACTAACCGCTGGTTGTTATAAGTAATCGTATCAGTTATGTAGGGTCCCAGGGGATCCTAATTGGCTCCCCTGGGATCCTACATTGGCTACCATAACAGCTATATTGGATCCCAGGAACGCCAAATATGATCCCAAACCAGATATATGGATTCCTAGAAGTCATATTGGACCCCAACACAACAGTTTAGGAACCCATACCAATCATACCGGATCCCAGAAACGTCGAACGGGATTCCAAACATTTATTCTGAATCCCAGAAATGCCAAACAGGATCCCAAAACAGCCATTTTGAAGTTTAGAAACGCCCTTTCGTCCCAAAACAGCCATATACGACCTAAAGACAACCATATTAGAATTCCATAAAAGCCATACTAGAGTCCAGAAATGCAATATAGGACCCCAAGAAAGCCATAATGAATCCCAGAAAGGTCATAAATTATTCCAAAACTGCCATACTAAATCCCAAAAAAGCCATACAGGATCCCACAATAGCCATACTGAATGTCAAAAAAAAAAAAAAACATACTGAATCTAATTCAATTAGTCAATATACTTTAAACCTAACAAAAACACTAAGAACTACTAATTCCAGGTGTGGCATATTTCCATTGGGGTCCTCTTCCCCAGGATGCATCCCACAACAGTCTATTAACATCCAGGTGCCTATTTACCGCTTGGTAAATAGGGGCAGCAGGTACCAGGAGACTCGCCTGTCTCGCTCCAGGTTCAGATTGAACCCAGGTCCTTCGGTTGTGAGCTGAACGCTCTACTACTGATTTACGAAATGAATACAAATAGCGCACTGTCAATTATAATGAAGAAAAGGAACATATTAAAGAATAAACCTTAATCAGGACAAAGTTCCGGTATAAAGCTTTATCAGTTTATGACTTGATAAAGTTCTTCAAGGCGGAACAGTGACCTAATAAAACACTTTATTCAAGGTGTACCTTTTAAGTTACGAGATACCATAGTATGTATATGTGTCTAAAGTAATTGTACAAGATGCAAGTGTTATAATTATAAAGTATATATAATTATATGATAGATTAATTACCTTGAGTGGTGTTGAGACTCGACCAACACAGTCTGCTCCAGCACACTTCCTTATATTTCAGGAATTTATTTGACCAGTTGTCTTTATCGTCTTTTTCTGGGTCAAGTTAGACACTCGATCAAGAATAATCCCACTAAAAGGGGCTAAAATAAGCTCTCAATGTATATATAAAGAGAGGTGAGAGTGGAGAGGGAGTCATCTAGACGGTCTCCAGCAGCAGACTGAGGCTCTGCCGTCACCTCACATTGTAAATATTATGTTAACACAGCTGCCCTTTGCTGCTTTCTGTCTTCTTATTACCCGTTTATTGTTTATCGTGGTCTTTTTCTGTCTTTGTGGCTGGTGGTTCGTACGTTGGATTGCGTGCAGCCAGCAGTAACAGTCTGGTTGATCAGGCTCTGATTCACCATGAAGCCTGGTCACAGACCGGGCCGGGGGGTGTTGACCCCTGGAATTCTCTCCAGGTAAACTCCAGGTGTGTGTGTACTGTGGTTGATGTATATTACTGGTTATTGCGCTGTGTTATATTCCAGATGAATTTGATACTGTTACCTGGTCGAAATTTGTGAATATTATCACTTCGCTATTAAGTGGCTATGGGGATTTCCTGGCCAATGAGACAGTGGCGAACAGTAAATGTGTTTTATTCGCTGTGTCATCTGAGGAAGGTACTCCCATGCCCAGTATCCCACAAGCTCAACCCCATCTACCTCACTGCAAGCAAAGGAGCAGTACAGAGTGCGGCATAAACTTATCTGCTATGCTGAATATAAAATCCCATCAGGTTGATGACTAAGGGGCACGTCAGTTCCACTGTTTTCTAACAATACGTTATTTTTCCACTATAATCTACCTCGTCCATAATTACTATCACATTTGCTTTGTCTGTTTCGTAAGGTGAAGTCCAGGATCTTCACTTAATTCATGGTATAACTTAAATATTTGAAGACAAGTTGCAACACTATTGTCTTCAAATATTGAAGTTATACCATGAATTAAGGAAAGATCCTGGACTTCACCTTACGAAACAGACAAAGCAAATGCTATAGTAATTATGGACAAGGTAGATTATAGTGGAAAATAAACATGATATTAGTAGACAGGGGAACTCAGGCGCCTGTTAAGACACCCAACTGTTGTACATGTCTTAATCTAACGTTGCTAAATATCAGCGCTGAAATTATGAAGCCAGGTAGAACATATGAAGCCAGGTAGAACATATGAAGCCAGGTAGAATATATGAAGCCAGGTAGAAGAGGTGTGGAAATTACATTTACCTGGATGTAATTCATAAGGTACATACCAGTAAATGGTAACAAAGATAATTATTATTTATCAAAGTTACATAGACAAGTAGAAATTTTGGGACACCTAGGTCTCAAAAAATGTCCCCCTTCGATACCTACAACTGTCATATCCACAAGTTGCTCTAGACCTATATTAATTGCAAATGAAATATACATCACCAGGAATTCTGGTAAAATTTAATATAAACATGTGGACTGTATATTAAAATTAATAAATGATTACATATACACATTTATATAACAGAAGGAGAATTTATAATCATAACACACCAATTTGTCTGGAGATTATTGTGTATCATACTCAAAACCCTTGTCTAAAATTTATGAAGAAAATACTGGCCAGAATTTCTAAATAACTATAAAGACATACTTGCTGGGGTTCTGAAGCTGTCCTGTCCATCTGCTTAATGCTCACATTATGCAGGACTGCAAGTCCAACAATTTCGGCTCCTATTTGAGAGGTTTTAAGCCCAATATAACCCCTAGAGCGACGAAAATTATGCACATTACACTAACGTGCTTGTATCACATTCTTCCCTGCTCGTCAGCACAGGCGCAGAGCCTCCCTGTCGGCTCCATTCTCCAAAATACACCTCAGAGCAATAGTAATGTATCAATCAGGCACACCTACATTATAAAAAAAACATACAGCATAATTTTGGGAAATTATTTTCCAAAAGAGGCATTCTCCTGTTAGTGCACAGAAAGCAAATTGTTTAATAAAATAGGCAAATTACAACTTACATAACCTGAAACTAATTCGGGGTTTCCTTTGAGGCAAACACATCACCTCTAGAAGTTTCAAGTCGACCAGAATAAACATTCTTCACTTATGACCCAGAGTCCACTAATTCCAGTTTTATTTATGTTAGTAAACTGGCAAAATTGCACATACACAACGTAATCACAAATGATATCATCATTTTTAAAAGATGCATCAGCTATTAAACACACCCACACACTCACATACACAGTGAGTGTCAGGAAAGAGATGTCAGAATGGGGTAGAGTAACTAGCGGGGTGCCACAAGGATCAGTGTTAGGACCTATTGCCTCTGTTTTATGTGAACGACATTAAAGATGGGACTGATGAAAGCAGAAGACAAGGAAAGGCTCCAGTGGAATCTGGACAAATTTCTTGAATTCAACCCCAGTAATTGCAAGGTCATGAAGATTGGGGGAAGAGCAAGAAGACCGGAAGCAGGGTATAGATTATAAGGACAGAAGCTGCAGACTTCACTCAGAGGTCTAGGGGTCAGTATAGTGACTGGTGTAATGCCAGTGACTCACATCAGCCGAATTAACTCTGAAGCCAATGCTCGTCTGGCAAATCTAAGAGTAACCTTCAGGAATCTCAATTTAGTTATTCTGGGCCCTTTATACAACATACGGGAGTATGTAGCACCAGTATGGAACCCGCACCTGAAAAAAAAACATGTTAAAAAATGGAGAAAGAGCAGAATTATGCAAAAAGACTTGTTACTGAGCTAAGAGGTCTTGAACTGCAAAGAAAGACTAAGGAAATTAAACGTAACGACGTATGAGGACAGAACAACCAGGGGAGATACGATAACAACATACAAATACTTGAAGAAATTGATAAGGGACAGACATCTTGAGAGGCCAGAAACAGGAACTCGGGAACACCGGTGGAAGTTAATGTTATAGATAAGCCACAGGAATGTTAGGAAGTATTTCTTCAGTCTCAGAGTGGCCGGGAGGCGGAGTGATCTCGGTGAAAAAGTGGTGAGGACGGACTCCATATATAGTTTTAAGAACAGGTACGGTAGAGCTTATGAGGGAGTACATCTGAAAAGTGGCAAGAGGCAGGACCAGGAGCTGAGAATAGACCCCTGCAACTACAGAGGAGTACAAATAGGTGAATACTCACACACACACACACAAACACACACACACACAAACGTTGAGAGGCTGGGCAGGAATTGGGACTCTACCCCTGGTATCTCAATAGGCGACCACACATGATTACGTACAGAGATCTCGCCCGGCCAGGGAATTGAATCCGGGACCGCTCAGTGATGGAACAATGACCACCGAGCTACGGGTGCATAATGACGCAGAGCGTGAGAATAGCTGACAGTTAGCACCTGACTAGTTCTACATCAGCAGGTTACGTCTGTGAGTCAGGTCCTTGTATGAGCCACACACATGTGAGCGAAATCTTACATAATACTATGACTAGGCCTCCTTAAAGAAATATTACAGGAATGAAAACCTTAACGAAACGTACAAAGTTCAGATAATTGTTTACTGAATGTAAGTAGATATATGTAAGATATACCTGTTATCTTACGTGTGCACGAGCCATAGTGTGAGAGGGTAGCTTCGTGGGTGGGTGAGTAGGTGGGTGGAGTGGAAGATTGGTTGGTGCGTGGGAGGGTTGGTGGGTGTTAGGCGAGTGTGGGTTGGTGTCAGGCGAGGGTGGGTTGGTGTCAGGCGAGGGTGGGTTGGTGTGAGGCGAGGGTGGGTTGGTGTGAGGCGAGGGTGGCTTGGTGTGAGGCGAGGGTGGCTTGGTGTGAGGCGAGGGTGGCTTGGTGTGAGGCGAGGGTGGCTTGGTGTGAGGCGAGGGTGGCTTGGTGTGAGGAGAGGGTGGCTTGGTGTGAGGCGAGGGTGGCTTGGTGTGAGGCGAGGGTGGCTTGGTGTGAGGAGAGGGTGGCTTGGTGTGAGGCGAGGGTGGCTTGGTGTGAGGCGAGGGTGGCTTGGTGTGGGGGCGAGGGTGGCTTGGTGTGAGGCGAGGGTGGCTTGGTGTGAGGCGAGGGTGGCTTGGTGTGAGGCGAGGGTGGCTTGGTGTGAGGCGAGGGTGGCTTGGTGTGAGGCGAGGGTGGCTTGGTGTGAGGCGAGGGTGGCTTGGTGGGTTAGATATATAACCATCGTCATCATTAAGTTTATTAGGTACAGGAACACACATATGTAATTATCACATATCGTGTAAATTACTTAGGATAAACCAAAAAAGTCAGACTGACTTATTTTCACTGGGTATCTTCGAGCCAACATTTCAATACCTGCGGCAGGTGCTGGGGTTTCATACACACAAGATCTTCTCTGGCACAGTAGGACACTATACAGTAGGACACTACACAGTAGGACACTATACAACATCACCTTCAGTACTGTAGTTTCAGTTCTTCAACATTTTTCTTCCCGTGGATGCGACCGACAACAACACGTTAACCCACAGGTACCTATTGTTACTGCTAGGTGGGCAGGGGTGTAACGGAACCTCTGCTAGGTGGGCAGGGGTGTAAGGGAACCTCTGCTAGGTGGGCAGGGGTGTAAGGGAACCTCTGCTAGGTGGGCAGGGGTGTAAGGGAACCTCTGCTAGGTGGGCAGGGGCGTAAAGGAACCTCTGCTAGGTGGGAAGGGGTGTAAGGGAATCTCTGCTAGGTGGGCAGGGGTGTAAGGGAACCTCTGCTAGGTGGGCAGGGGTGTAAGGGAACCTCTGCTAGGTGGGCAGGGGTGTAAGGGAACCTCTGCTAGGTGGGCAGGGGTGTAAGGGAACCTCTGCTAGGTTTGGGCAGGGGCGTAAAGGAAACTCTGCTAGGTGGGAAGGGGTGTAAGGGAATCTCTGCTAGGTGGGCAGGGGTGTAAGGGAACCTCTGCTAGGTGGGCAGGGGTGTAAGGGAACCTCTGCTAGGTGGGCAGGGGTGTAAGGGAACCTCTGCTAGGTGGGCAGGGGTGTAAGGGAACCATTGCTAGGTGGGCAGGGGTGTAAGGGAACCTCTGCTAGGTGGGCAGGGGCGTAAAGGAACCTCTGCTAGGTGGGAAGGGGTGTAAGGGAATCTCTGCTAGGTGGGCAGGGGTGTAAGGGAACCTCTGCTAGGTGGGAAGGGGTGTAAGGAAACCTCTGCTAGGTGGGAAGGGGTGTAAGGGAACCTCTGCTAGGTGGGCAGGGGTGTAAGGAAA